TTTTGTAATTTTCCTTGTAAAATTCGAAAAGCGTCAAAATGACGCGTCTCGTAAACCTAGTGTCAGAAAGTACAAGAATCCAAAAACACAATAAGTAATTTTCTGACCTTTTCATATATCTATTAAAATTATTTAAATATAGTGGTATTTATCCTAATATGCATCTGAATGGTAGAATGGTAGAAATCACATAAATCTCGGTGCGCTGCCGCGAAACGGCATTAACCGATTCATCGATAGTAATAAATCGATGATGAGGAGTAGCGAGGAGGAATGGAGATGGGAAGAAGAGGGGGTGCTTAGCACCAAAAAANTTTCGTTATTAATAGGGAAGTCAGCTGTGTATAAGATGTATAGTAGTGGCCCGAGGATACTACCTTGGGGCACACCGGCTTGAATGTTTTTATAAGCTGAGAACGAGCTATCGATTTTAATTCTGAACTTTCTATCAGTAAGGAAAGAGTTTATTAAAGTAATAAGGTCTAATGAAATATTCATTTTATGTAGTTTTACGATAAGTCCCTTATGCCATACTCGGTCGAAGGCCTTGGCCACGTCGAGCATAAGCATAAGGGCGGTTTCGTGTTTAAATTTAGCATTACTGATGTATTCGAGGATGTTTACAAGCTGCTTGGTAGTTGATAGGTGCTTCCTAAAGCCATATTGTTGGTTTGGGAGTAGGTGAATATAATCATTGAGTCTTCGTTGAATAATTTTTTCAAAGATTTTTGATAACATAGGGAGTAGACTAATAGGCCTGTAGTTTTCAGGATTAGAGGCTGTTTTACCGGGCTTAGCGAGTAGAATGATGTCTGATTTCTTCCATTCCTCGGGAAAATATAGGTTTTTAATGGAGGCATTATAAATATTAACAATTTGGAATACTTTATTTCGAGGGAGATTTTTTATCATGATGTTCGTAATATTATCGTGCCCAGGAGCTTTCTTATTTGCGAGGGTTTTAATGATGCAGGTGACCTCGTCTTCTGATGTCTGTTCGATGTTGTTCTCAATATGGTTGTCATGGTTTATAATAGTATTGATGCATCTGAATTTTTATTTTAAAAATATACTTTTTCTTACAAACACATTAAAAGTGGTAACGTAATTTTTTCATTTTTAGCATTATCTTTAAAAATTAAGACATTCGTATTCACCATAATATATTAATAAAATAAATATATTACTAATAAAGATTTTAATAACGATCTAAAATCATTCGATTGCAATTTTTAACTAAAAAAATTAATAATAATAGAAAATACGAATTTCGTTTAAGCAGAATTGTTCTACCACCTAATTTTTAATATAAAGGCGATTTTTTGGTTACTACAGAACGTTTCATTTATGGCTCCTCAATAGGTAATGGGTAATCAATAGGTAATGGGTAACCAACTGTCATATGATTTATCAACATGTTCCTTGCCAGCCGAGTGCATTGGTTATATCTATCATTGCAGAGGGGTGATCTATAAAGATAAAATTAATAATTTAAAGATTTCAGCTTTAAGTCTGTTTTAATGAGTTGTAAATACATTAGTTTAACAAAACAACTGTTTTCTCACAAATTATTTATTTTTTTCTGAATAATATTTAATAATTTCAATTTAAGCTCTAATTTTTTTTTTTTTAAAAAATAAGAAAGTTACATTTGTAAGAAGCACGTAATACAAAAATCACCTCAAACAATAAAAAATGGTACAAATGACGCTGAAAGACCATAAACAGTTGGCAAGTATTGATGCAATCATAAAACAGCAACACCCTCAAACAACGAAGATAAACGAAATGAAGAAACAAATGCATAGACCTGTTGTAAAATATTAACCTATTCCGCACTAACATTGCGTTTACACGACAATTGTAGCAATGCTGTAAATGTACCCTTTCAAAAATGATAATAATTTAAAATATCATTACCATTTTAGTTTTAAGAAAATATTGTAAACTAATAGTTTATATTTCTTTTATATATATGATGCAAAATGTCATTAAACCGAAAAATTTTGAAAATAAAATAATTAAAATATTGACAGGTAAATCAATTATTTCATTATTAAAATTTATATTATGGAAAGCTGTGCTCTCTTTATTATGATAAGATCATAAATAATATTTATTTTAATCTGAAATTATGCCAATATATGTTTTGGTCTAAGATTACGCCACTGTAATATTCTAGAACTCAAGAGGTAGCCAACATTAGAAAGTATCAAATTTTTCAAAGCATAATTTTTTTACTACTTATAGCATCACTACAAATTGTTATGTATCGTAACAGTAGTCCGGATTGAGTTGATTTTAATTTATTACATAATTGTATTATAATTAATAGATTGATTTATTAAAAATTAATAATTACAACCAATTACGCATTAATTTTCAGGTGACCTTTGGGAGCCCATCTGAAGGAGAATTACAGAAAGGTGACATAATCCTACGAATAAGAGACACTGATGCAACACGTTTATCACATAAAGGAGCCACCGATCTTATCTCAAAAGCTGGCAGCACATTAAAAATTGTAGTTGCCAGGTAAGTAACCAAATAAAAAGTGCATTGCATAAAATTTGGCTAAAAATTTTGCATAATGCATTGCAATAAATATTGCAAATAAACATGTCTTTGTTAAAGTGACTAACTCTTAACGCTAACACTTATACAAATAACACTTTTTTGATATTAAGAGGAGAAAGTAAAAAACGCGTCATGTCGGAATACGCACAAAACAAATTCACATATTTTGTGCTCTAGTGCGCTTTCATATTATAATTTTTTTTTAAATATTTAATTTTAAAAATAAATTGCTTTGATATTATAGTGTATATTGTAAACTGAATTTTAATTAAAAGTATATATTTTTCAACACAGTCAAACATGTTATGAATTATAATTCATTTTCACCAAATATTTTTTTTAAAAAAACGCAACCTGCTCGAGTCTAACCAGAAACTCTCCGTTCAAGTTTTAAATTGCAATATAGTTTTTTATTTGACTCAATAAAGTCTTGTGTGCACAGAATTCTTGAAAATACCACTTTGAATTGCACTTAAAAAAATAAGAATTTTTAAAAAAATAAATTTTAGTCTTAATAGCATAAGATAAATGCAAAATATTAGTACATTTTTGGCATCTACGAACTTGCAGTAGGATTTAGAAGAAGAAAAGGTTCTAATAAACAACTAAAAGATATATCAATCGATTAAAATTTTAAATTAAAGCTTACGAAATTTTTAACTTCTAATAATACAACTGAAATCTATTTTAATCATTAAGTAGTAACAATTGATAGAATTTATTGTTTTGGTATAAATGAAAATTTTCTACCATTTGTTTCATAAGGACAATTTTTATATCACTACAAAATGATGCGTTTACGAACTTTCGAAGATGAATTAAAATCAATAAATTATGCTGCAATTTCCAGAAAAACGAAATAACTATCATTTTTTTTTTCAAATTGAATTACATTAGAAAAAATAACCTATAGTTTTATATGACGCAACAACGAACATGAATATAGATTAGTCTGAGAGCAATTAATTACAAAAACAATAATAATTAAATAAATAAATAAATAAAACTTTCTATTAAAAATAAAATCCTTCGTCTTTTTTGTCAAATGTTCCACCTATTTCGTAATTTTCGAAATGATAAAATTTAATATAGTTTCGGGTAAAACTTTATTTTTATTCTCTGTAACTAAAAAGAGTATTATTCTAATTTTTTAGTACACCTTATAAAAAATCTACGATATTTTTCAATTAGAAATGAAAGTCTACTTATGTTTTTTAATTAGAAATGAAAATTCTACTTATGTTTTCGATTAGAAATGAAAACTACTTATTTTTTCAATTAGAAATGCTTCTGGCATGCAAATACCTGCATCACCCACACCTCAACTTTCAACCATGCCATCTGGAGGAAATCCATTTATTTACAAACCACTGCCAACAACAAATTTCGCAGCACAAAGGCAAAGGAGATCTTCGGTAGAATCATTCACCAGCACAACCAGTAGTGATACAGAAAAAGAAGCCATTATTAACCAAGTAATACTGATTTTAACGAATAATCTGTTAATTAACACGTTGAGCGCCGCGTCAGCCATCGTAATCACCCGTCCCCAAGGGGTTAAAGCAAAAGTAGTAAAAAAATTGAAAAAAAGTGGTAGATATTGTAATTGTTTATCTTCCGTCTAAAAACAAATACCTATTATCCCATTTTTCATATAAGTGTCAAGTCGAATAACGTTTTCTTTCCAGGAATTAATTGGTAAAATCAAATTTCTTAACCTACTAAGGCCAAAGTTCCCTTCAACTTTTTTCATTTTCCAAATAATTTTTTTTCCTCCTTGAAACTATATCTTGAAGTAACATCTACTAGTGTATTTTTTACAACATTGTTGCATTTTCGCAGAGGTGGTTAATAACTTCATGCACTTAGAATAACGCTTGAAAACATTTATGCCAACTATATTTATCAGAGATAGCAAATTAAAGCAGATATTTTTAAAACAAATAAATTTCTTAACAAACATAAAAAATTTCATCAAAATTACATTCACGATGATTGCTGAATGATTTGGTATAAACAAATACCTACTATCCCATTTGTAGGTATCACGATGATTTGCTATAAACAAATACCTACTATCCCATTTTTCATTTAGTGTCAAGTAGAATCACATTCTATTGCCATCAATTAGTTGGTAACATCGAATTTCTTAACCTACAAAGGGCTAGATTTCACTCCAACTTTTTTATTTTTCAAATCATTTTTTGTATCATTGAAACTATATCTTGAAGTAACATCTACTAGTGTACTTTTTACAACATTGTTGCATTTTCGCAGAGGGGGTTAATAACTTCATTCACTTAGAATAACGCTTGAAAGCATTTATGCCAACTATATTTATCAGAGATAGCAAATTAAAGCAGATATTTTTAAAACAAATAAATTTTTTAGCAAACATAAAAAATTATATCAAAATTACATTCACGATGATTTCAGAATCTTGGAGTCTGACGCCGAAGGCGGCAGTTACCAATTCTTGGAAGTTATGAGTTGATTGGTTGATGGAGATATAAAATGTGAATTAAAATGAAGATCGGAAAAAAGGAAGAGAAAAGGGGGAAATGTACGCTATCACGATCCTAAAGGTCATAGACTACACCAAAGGTGTGTGCATAAGCATCCATAGGGTTATTAACGGTATATGAAATAGATAAACAATTAACATAAAACCGATTAAATGATTTTAGACACAAAAAACGGGCTGTGTACAGGGCAATGTAAAAGATATATACAAAAGAGTGAGGGAATAAATAATGCGTGAGAATATATACTAAATTGAGGCTAAGACGAAAACGCTAGGATCGGGCTAAGCGTAAGAATGTAGGCAAACGACTAGCTGCGGTGAGATAGGGAACTAAAATGGAGATGCTTCATACCCGCAGCTTCAGTTAAGGGTTACTCCCCGCCGAAGTATAAAAACAAAAATTAAATCGAAGATGAGTTTGAGCAACTGGACTAAATTTAACGTCGTCTTCCATTAAATCCAGATTAGCACTAGGTTTACGGACGTTTCTGATATACCTATGTCTACGAACACGCGTCAATTTGACGCATGAACGAATACATATAACAGTAACAGAGATGCCAACTTTCTCCGGACAGCTCGATGATCAAAAAAGTTTGGCGATCTCTGGTATAGATAAATGAGGAATTATTTACCATATGTTTCTTAAGCTGAGTTGAATGAATTCAAAACAGAATCAATGCAATGAACATTGAAAGATAATTTTTTTTTTAATTTATAAATTCTAATTTTTTTAAAGTTAAAATTTATAAAAAGCACAGTTTTGTACTTATACCTACCTTTGTGCCCGATGTACTATAAATTACTATGCATTGCTTTGGGTCCTATGTATTGTTTTTTTTCTTCTTTGAATATCGTATAAGACCAAAAACTGGCAGATATTGCTAATAGTTTAGAATTACAGGAATTATTAAGTTTCCATGCATGTAAAGTACATTTTTTCATATGAGTTCTATACATGAGTTTTGTATTTATATCTATATAATATGTTGTATTCATATCTATATACAGTTATTTCAGACGTTTAGAGAGGTAAAATACAAAAGTATGCTTTTTTATATTTTTTATATATTAAACCCCTAATAACTTCTAAACTATTAGTCGCATAGATTTTATTTTGAAGTTTTTCGATTCAGTGTAAAAAAACACATTGTTATAACATATCACTTGTCTATATGGGAAAGTTTAAGTTTTCTTAGTATTATTGATCTCCTTTCGCCTTTAGTAAATTCAAAATGGCGGTTAAGGCTCAACGTAGAGAAGGGAGCAAACTTTAGGTTTTCATATTAAGACCGAATCTCACCTTTTTAGAACAACTTTCATCTTAATTACTTCCGTATTGAGCCTTTTTTATGGCGCGGGAATCAGCCTTTGATATAATTATTTGATTTTTAAAATCTCTCAAAGATAAACAAAATATCAGATCAGTCTTTCAAAAAATTTTAATAAATCTCAAACAAACGATTAAGCAAAATCCCCCAACCCTTTTCCATCAGAGATATTATAAGAGTTCGAAATAGATTCCAACCATTGTTATTGGCAAGAACTTCGCATGTCTCAGCAACAGACACTAAAGGTCTGTAACAATGATCTTCAGGTGTAAAGGACACAAGCGCCAAATTATTTTGGCTCCTTTCCCTGCATCCAAGCATTTTTAGTCGGATGCCCATTCATTTTTAAGTCATGAGAGAACTACTGTTTCAGTTTTTCTCTTCTACAATCAACCACTGTTTGGCTTGATATTTTTCTCACCTTCTATATTTCATTCCATAATGGATTCCACACTTTTAGAAATAACCATAGTCAATAATCTATCAAAAAAATATCAGAAAGAAATTTTAACAGGCAGGTTTTATACCATGAAGTGTAGTGAAAGTTTTTTTAATTATAAATAATATAAATTTAGAGCAGTTTTTAAAAAATCTTTTTTTCATGTATATCCATAGCGGCCAACTTTTACGAATTTTTCGTAAGATCTTATTCTTATATTTAAAGTGGAAGCAAAATGTATTCTTTTGTTTTAAAGTCTTGAATTTATAAATTTTATTTAACATTATTTTAATCACCCCTACACATAAACAAATTGAACATTTATACAAATGCCTGATACACACATGATGGTTTGATAAAGCTCAGGCAAATCAGAGAATTATTTCTGTGTACAATTGTAATTCAGTTGTCATATCACTACCACTAGAGGAAATCATCTTTGAAAAAGGTAAAAATTCGCAGGTATGTTTACAGCAGAGCATCCTTAACCCTTGACTTCTTGCTTATAGTTTTAATCGTCTATAGATAATTTACAATAGCTATACCTGCCAACGTATACAGATTTTCCGTAAGAATTTGCTTTTATTTTTAAACGTGATGATCATACAATAGTATGTTTAAGATCTGACCAAATAAAAATGTCTATCTACATTTTATAATTTTATTGTCATTTTGCTGCCACTTAGGGAAAAAAATCATCTTCTGAAAGATTGTGAGATGCCAACTTGCTAAAATTTGAGGGGAAATTTATTCTGGTAATAAAAAAATCTAGGTTTTAAAATATGGTTATTGATTTCGTTCATTTGATTTAATGTGAATGTACTTATTACGACTTTGAAAAAACTCAAACGTAAGTATAAAACACGAATTTATTCCAATTACGTCATCGTGTAGCTCAAAGCATGGTGTGCAAGCGTCAATTTTTATTCTCTACCACTTTATAAAATATTTTAAAGAATGCGAAGTTGTTGACTGCCCTAGGAATGGATAATAAAAAATCCTAACTACAAATAATATTGAACAGCGATTAAAAGCAATAATGATCTATGGTTACAAGAGCTGGGATAGCCTGGTTGGAAGGGCGTTGGGCCCACGTCCAAGAGGTCGGGAGATCGATCCCCACCGGTCGATGTAGTAAATGCTGACTGGTGCACGTTAAATTTTTTGGGTCACAAAGCCCCCCCCCCATGTTCCCATAACAAATTATGCAATCTGTGGGTGAATGAATAGGTCAACCCTGTAAACGGGCAGTGACGAGTGTGTGGCTAAAGTCGTATTCTTAGCATAGATGGAGCCACTGAAAAACAAGAAACGCACCCTTTGCCTTAAATTCGCTTGCTTTCACCAAGCAGGCTTGGTGATATTGGCAAGTGTCATTAGAAACAACAACAGCAATTGGGTATACTATAGCCTACGTCAGAGATCGTGTTATTCCTACTAAATTTAACTAGTAAACAGCATTTTCTGCGAACCTGATTTCTAGCAACAAGTAAAAGCATCAAACGAAGTGTCTTGTTATAAGTCGCTACTCGCCAGGTTGGAATTGTATTAGTCTAGTTCCTTTGGAAATAATTTATATTGTTGTTTTACCGAAGTTTATGAATTTAGTAAGCATATTTAAAACTCAGTTTATTAATTAAACTAAAAGGTAAATGTTATTCCTAGGAAGTGGAAGTAGTTGTGCTTCTTTCATATTATACCCAATTACAAGTAATTATGATCTACATTAATAATCCATAATGTACTAATGTGACATTTTTTAAATCCAAAACTAATGTTGAAAAACTATTCAAAATATCTAGAACACATTTTTTTTTTTTGAATAACAAACACGTATATTCAGAATTTAAAATTATTTTACAGCAACTGTTAAATGGTTCAAAAATTTTTCGATATAGCTCATTTCAACATATGCCATTATAGAAAATATAAATTAAGACTTTTTCATTCAATATTACATATGTATTGAAAGACATATAAAACAAAAATTAGAAACAAAAAAAAAGCGTTGTTTGTGTATAAGAAGTGATTTCCTATTCATTAGATGGCAATAATGCTTAAGAAATCACTCGAGACTGCTAAGTAAATTCTTGAGAAACACAATTTAGTTGTTTACACTTCTTGGGAGTGTTCGATCTCCGTGAAAAAT